TTCAAGCAAATTACTCAATCCCCCCCCCCAAGCTTTACATTGAGACCCATGGGCGACTGGTGCCTCCTGAGTCGGGGGGGGCACTTGCCCCTCTCCCAGCAGCCAGTCAGTAACTGGCGGGGGTTCCCCCTGTGGCTGGTCGCGCACTGACCTGGGAGCAGCATTCCCTCTCAGCTGGCTCTAAGAGGAAATACTGCCCGGAAGTGCCAGGGATGCGCCCAGAAGGGCCGGTACCCCCACTCCCTGGACGGCACTCTCGGGGGGGCACCAGCACTCCCGCCTGCCCCCCCACACCTGCCACCGAAGCAGGGAACACCTGTTGAGACCAGACATTCTAGTTAATTTGGGAAAAATCTTTTACGCATGGGACATTTTGTAGGAGGTCGGTCCATATTTTTACTAGTCAATTTACCATAAAAGCATGAAGACTTATGTCAACATTAACCTTTTCATAGTCGCAATTTCTAGTTTTAAAACGGGTTAAGAATCCGGTCTTAAATTTAAGCCATTTCCTTCTATGCTCCTTAAAGTTGTTCTAGATCTCATTTGATATGGTAATACAGTATCATGGGGGAGTTCAGTGGTCTAGTTCAGTAATTTCAGGTATTTGTGTTTAGCATTTTTCACAGGCTTTTCAATTTGGTTATTTGAGCCCCTCAGGGAGCTGTTAAAGGGGCTCAAATAAACCAAAAGGATCTTTTCAACATGTTATATCCTATGTGATTGAAATATTGCAAGAAAACTGTATCTCATGTAATCTTAGTTTAACAAATAGCTCCCGGAGGCATTTAAGAATACATATAAATAAACATACACATAAACAATAAAAAATTGGGGGTCTAAGGTTATCAATGAATGAAACATTTAAATAATGAATAATCAATTAATGGAATATAATACATTCATATTTTAATAACTAAAATCTAATAAAAAAATTGTTCTCAGAAAGTTTTACTTCCTGAATTAAGAAACCATACATCTCTACTTCAGGAGCAGAAGACTGCCTAAAATAGTGAGAGAGAGCCATTTTCGGCAGGCCTACCACAAACTAAGCTCTGCATCCTCTCTGAGTGGCACTCTAATCCCCTTCTGCCTACCCTGTTGCTTTGCTTTCTGCTCCCTGCTTAATCTGCCATGTGCCACACATGGAGGCTGTCTGTGCTACTTACGGCAGTTGTGCTGCAGGTGACCTAAAAGATATGTCTGTACCTGCAGTAATTACTAATTCCACAACATTAAAATAAAAAAAAATAAATCACCCAGCTTGGGCCCACATAATAGCAAATAAGTCACCTGATATGAAGATAAACTAAGATTCGGAGCTGGGCTATGATGACTGGTATGCTTAGCAAACCACCAAATACATATTTTTGAAGAAAGGCACCTTTCTGGGTCTTCCCTGCTATTCTGCTATCAGTCACCTATTTCCTCTTGGCACAGCTGCCACGTACAGTAGGCACACAAGGAGATTCTTATTTTTTGAAGCAGGCTCTAAAATATACCGGCATGATTTATGGTATCACATTGGACATTCTGTGTCCAGCCTGATGAGCACAGAGACTGCTGCTGGGACAATTTGCATGACGAAAATAGCAAACAGCTTAATAAAGCTTATCTTGTATATGCACATATCTCAACAACATAAACCAATAAAATGGACACCAGCCTGAAATGCTACCCTTACAGCAGTAAGAAGACAATAGCTGTGACCATGAAAAAGTTGTTTATCTGGCAATTTTTGGACAGTACCTTAATGTGTGTCAATAACCTTCAAATTCTAAACTTCTTAAAAAATTAAAAAATACAAATGCCAAGGCACCATTGCCATAATGTAAACAGATTAGCTACTACTCTGCTAACCTAGTCTTGCAAGAATGTCATCTTCAGCCTAGGAATAAAACAGAAAACTCTTCCCCTACTCTACATGCTTGACTAAGTTATGACCTATACATCCCTCTGCCATGCCATTCACCTTTGAAAGGCTTGTAAACATCAAGTACTAAATGTAACAATTTAGGTGATCTGAAAAACATTTTTCTTAAAATTGATTTTACTCCAATTTTTCCTTCTTTACAACAGTATAAAGAAATGTTCTTTTGTCCTTCTATTAACCCTTAAATCAATTATCAAGAATGCTAGCCACAGCCTCCCCTGGTTATACTGGATGATTTTTCTGTAGAAGGTGGTTCGGAGATGCATGTTGTGAACCCTCACTCCTTGATTGAAGCAAGGAATCTTTAACAGAGATATCATTTCACCCAGGCTAGAGACAGACATTCAAACAGCCTGAGCCTGAACTGATTCAATCTTTGCAGGTTAGTCTAACCTGGATAAGCTAAATCAGTGTTGTAACCAGACAGACATCCCAGAAATGCAGGAAAATGTCTGCAGTGGCTCAGGCTAGAAACCAAGGGGCACTAAAGCAGCCATCCCTTCCCCAGGGCTGAGCTGAGGGGGGCATGGCCAACCCCTGGCAGGACACTATGATTAGTGAGGGGTCCCCCCTTGATAACAGAGCATTTATCAGCTCTGTTATCAGCATTTAATACCCCATCAGAAAACAAAGCCTTGCTCATTACAAGCTCTTCTTAAACAGCTTTTTTCCCAAAGGAAGGAATACAGGGATATTACCATCTGAGCTGTTGATTACCTCCAAAAAGCCCTAAGCAGATACTGTCCTATCGGCCTTATACAGCACTAGCTAGTTTACCACATGCTGGCTACAGTCTGTGCTGTGGGAGAGAGGAGGAAGGGATCTCTGCTTAAGCAGCAAGTGGTGAGAGGGGACCAGGGGGGCACAGGGAAGCCAGCATACCCTGCTGTGCCTTCAAGTCTCTGCTGGACCTCTGGCCAGGGAGCAGAGGGGAGGGGCCAGCTCTGCTGTGGAGCAGAGAGCCCCGCCCAGCCAGACAGCATGCCGGGATTATGGGGGTTTCTGGCTTATTTTAAACCAGCAAGGGGTCTGGGACAGACATTGTATAAACTGGTTTGACCCAAATCAGTTAAGTCTGATACTACATTCAACCAGGTTTATCTCAGACCGGTTTAAACCATTTTCAGATTGGTTTATGTGCACTAAACATCTGTTCTGTTACAGCTTTAAACCAGTTTCTGATCACTTAAACCAGTTTGTGTAATGTCTGTTCCTAGCCCCAGGCACTGAATGGGTATATAGTTATATAGGGATTAACATAAAACAATTTTAAACAGACTGAACATCCTATCCCTTCTCATCCGTTCAGTCTTCAGCCTCTTGGCATGTCAGATTAATGGTTCTTGGTATGTCAAATTAATTAGCTCTTTGGTTCCTTATTGCCTTTCATGATTAATAAGACATGAATTTCTGATGTAAAAAGAAAGAAAAACACCTCTTTCTTCAACTTCCTGGTAGACACCATGTTTCAAAACTTAAAATGTACACATCTATTTTTAATCTTGATGCCGCTCTTGATTTTTGAGAATTTTAAATATTTTTAAAGGAAAATTGAGTGTAAAAACTACATATATAATATTAAAGTTGTGTAATTAAAAAAAAAAAAAAAGACAGACTGATATTTAGATTCTCGGAACATATTAGACAAGTCCTTCTGCATAAATTCTGTTAAATATGCCACAAAAATATCCAAGACATAAATATATTTCTGATTCTTAAGTACATAGAAATAAGTATACTACAAATGTAGAACACAGCTGACTTGCTCTTGCATTAGACATGGTAACTTGGTTTTCCTGACTTCGTTAAACTGCAATTGAATTCATCTTCACTCCTTACGCATTTTTATATAGTGTTTGCATACATGCACACATATTTACATATGTCACTCCTTTTGAGCATATAAACACTGGACAAATCTAGTAAAGGAAACCTCTTGATGCATTTCATTAAGAACAGAAGCCCTGGATGCATTGGGATTAGAATCTTATCATAACTGATGACATTACTAGAACAAATTATAAAATTTACAGCGACACTGATTATAATCATACCAAGTTTATTCGAAGAGGATTCTACTACAGCTAGTTTTGTTTAGCAGAAATGCTAGGGATGGTTTTGACTGGCAAGAATTTTATAACAAAAGGTCACATGGTTAGCTCAGGCCTGCTTTGTTCTGATTAGATACGCAATATTCTACTATGATTGAGTCTAATCACCAACTGATTTTTGGCTCCCAAATACCTGTCATCACCATCACTGATGCACTCAGGAAGAGCCAGGCTACAGCCGAACAGCATGATGTGTTGATAGCAGCTGAGGCGATTGAGATAACTGAAGAACTTGAGAAACTTTTCCATTTCAATGCTTTTGACGATGGAAAGAACTGATGTTAAAGTGGTGTGATTATATGGCAGCATTTGGCACTGGCTGTAAGTGATATTTATGCAGGCACCTGTGAAATCAAAATAATTAAATTTAGAACATACAAATCAATTAAACTATTGTATGGTGGTACTGAGTATTCACTAGCTAAGATATATTGTATAGAAGCAATAACTGTTTCTATACATAGGGTAATATTAAACAATGCAATCATATCACAGCACAGACATGGAGCAAATTTCTGAGAGTAGAAGAAACCTGGAAAAGTTTGAGTTTAGCTTATACAAGCATCCCAAATTAGCTACTTTCACATTTATCTGACCTTCTTTTCTGCAAAACTGGATGAAAAACTGCATATAATGGTCTCCCTCACAAGATATCTAGTAAAGCTAAGATAGACCAACTATGAAAGCAGCCTCCCCTGTGGCATTTGAACACAAAATCACCTGAAGCAAGGAAGGGAAGCAGCAAAGATTAAGGGTGAAAACAGACATTGCCTTGTGCTACCCTAAGATTTTTATGGAAGCATAAGGGCCAAGCAAAGAAATGACCAGGCTCCGTGTTGCACCACAAATGCCCAAAATTTGTGGCCACAAAGGAGACAGTGTTAATTTGTGCCACTATTTAGCAGTCAATGTTTGTTTTCATTAAGGCACAAGAGCACGGGCAGCCCAGAGCTGCTGGTGCTCTCCAGCCTTCCCAGGCCACACCTCCATGGGCTTGAGGGACCCAATCCTGCACGCCCTGGGAATTTTCACACAGGATTGGGCCCCTCAAGCTATAGGAATGCCAGCCTAACGTTCCCCCACTTAAAGACACACCAGTTTGACACTCTGGTGCAGTCCTGGGGCTGGGACCACCAAACAACTGACTGGCAGTCCCAGCCCCAGGACCACACAGAAGCCAGCTTCCCTTGCTTAAAGAGAAATGCTCCAGGGGCAGAGACGCATCCTGGCACAGCTGATCCATTGCAGTTGGTGATGTCTATTTCTAACTTAAGGCTAACTGGGTTCTGGCTGTTTCAAGATTTTTGACTTGCTATAAAGCTTCCCCCACCCCCATCTCAACCTCACTTCTTAGCCTAACTAGTTCTCTTTTTCTCTATTCTTCACACATGCAGTAGGTTCTCTCCACCGTGAGGCATCAGCATGCTACTATACAGTGTGCTGTACTTTTCAGATTGTGTTTCATAAACGATGCTAAATGCAGAGTCAAGGTATGAGAATCTAGTAGTCAAAATATCCTCTGCAGTTGAGTGGCATCCCCATGGACTATTTATAGATGGTGAGACCCGTAGAATAGTTGATCTGTAATGTGTTACCTAAATCTCCTGTTTATCATGGTCCTGGTTCTTCCATCTATGAATCTACCCTTAATAATAAAGCAAAGAAAGTGTATATAAAGTTTGCAAACCACTAAATGGTGAGAGGGGTGGGCAAAACTTTGACTTTATTTTTATTTTATACAAATAGTTTCTGTCATTGCCAATTGTTTCCACTTTTCTGCAATATTTTGAAGGTATTAGACCCTCAGGAACTTGAGGGAGAAAAAAATAAAAAATAAAGAAAGGAAATCTTGGCTCCTTTGAGGTAAATAAATGGCAAAACTCCTATTGACATTATTGGAGCCAGAATTCCATCAAAGAATAGTTACGATTTTTCCCCCTTTAGTACTACTAATAGAGATTGTAAAAATGATGACTCAATGTGAACAGAATAGGAAGGGGTCATATAAGCTTGTCCATATCATGGCATTAATGCATACTACTGTTGATCTGCAATCTTTTATTAGTTCTACAGTTATATGATTGTGCATAAAGACATATTTTCAAAAGAACTAGGACCAGACTGTCAGATGATCGGTACTCGCAATAAAAAGCAAGGGTTTTTTTGTAGTTATATACACTACTGTCATTGCTTAGATTTGTAACTCTAGTGCTTCACCCAAATTGTCAGGTTAGAAGTTCCATTACAAAGTCTGTATGTCCCCCTATTAAGTGTCGCAGTCGCAAAGAGCGAGTCTAAAAGCAGAGAACTCATGAAGGCAGAGCTCGAAGGAGGGCATGCTTAAGCTACTGTGATTACTTGGAGAGTGTTATAGGAGTCTTTTGGCCATGAACAGCTGGACCATAAGGTCCACAAACCTCAAAGTGGGGCCTATAACCCAGAAGCATGCTGAAGAGGCCACAAATAAGCAATAGCATCTAGACACCATTCAGGCCCAGTAGTTTTGAGCAATGTTCAAGAACCAGAGGTTAGATCCAACCCGGGGGACTGACCACAAGAGGGTATTCAACAGGGCTGTAAAAGTACCAATTTTGCAAATTTTAGTAAATTAAACTGTTTATTAAATTAAAAGACAACCTTAAAAATAGTATTTGTAATGATTTATAACAGAACATTGGGCTATATCATTAACAGAGACAGCTGTGTTAGTCAAGTAGCAAAGTGAACTTCAAATCACAAAAGTTTGTACTATACATGTTTGGAAGCACGTGCACACACACACGCACATATACATGGGTGTCTGGTGCCCCTTGAGTCAGTGACCGGGGTGGGGGGTCCACCAGCAGTAGATCCTGCTGGCCCGGGGGGGGTGCCAGTCTCACTCACAGTAAAAGCGGCCATGCTGCTTCCAGAGCAGCACTTTTGCTGGTAGCCCCACTCCCCGGCTGGTGCTCGCAATTGGGGCACTGGTGCTCCCACCTGCCCACCGGCTACAAAGGGAGCATGGCCTGACAGAGAGTGCACCAGTGCTCTCAGGGGGTGCACATGCACCCTCATGCACCCCCTACACATTGCACCTGCATATATATATGTTATACTAACACTTTGATCATTCTATAAGGTTCAAATCAACCCTGCCTTCTACAGTATTAATAGCCAGAGGAGACTTTATTACAAGGGGGGTATTTTAAGCCTCATTTCTCTTGGATTTTATCATGTCATTTCAGCCACATAGAGTACATGTGGGTGCCTAGGTGAACCTAAGATTCACAGTCCAAATTCTCCCCTGAAGTTTGGTATGTAAGCTGTCTCTTTGGCTAGACTGAGTCACTTTTTTCTTTTTAGGCACAGCTGCTAGTGGTATACTCCTTGTAGAAGACAGCCAAGACAGTTCATAAGAAAAAAAGTGAGAGATCCAGTGCCCATCTCAGACTGATTGGGATTCAAATCCACAGCTCTCACTTTCCAGGAGTGTCCTAACCACCAGACTAGAGGCAGGGCTATTAGCTGGATTGTTGATACATTTAACACAAAACAACCATTAGATTAAGAAAAAAAAGAAGGAAAAAAAAATCAGAACCAAAACTTCTTTCCCAGCTGTGCTATAGGCATACTTGCACTTTCTCTTTTTTCTGGCTCTATACACCTTGTGTTCTTCTCCAAGCAGTTTCACTGGGAGAGAGGGATAGCACACCCAGCACTCCCACTTACAAGGCTACCAACCTGTGGCAAGCAGAAATTAGTGGACTACTAAGGTGCAGCTAATGCAGCCTGCATGCCAACTTGAGCCCCTGCTCTTGTGTAGCCTGCACTAGACAGGCTCCACACACCCGTATGACTATTGGGACAGGGTGATTTTACTACCCCCCTCCAGAAATAATATAGGGATAGGGAGACATCTGTGCATCTCTAGAAAGTGATTCTATTTCTATAATGGGGCGGGCATTAACAAGCTCAAAGAGGTTACAGAATTATGCCTATACAATCGGCAGGTAACTAGTTAGTTCCAAGCTGCACTTTGGTTATTCACTAGCCTGTCCTTTTGCCATAACAACAACATGATACATCAGGAAGTTACCAACAGTTTGGAGGTGCACTTCTGATTATGACTCATTGCATTAGAATTACAGTGTGCATATTTGAGTTACTCCCCTTGACACCTAAAATTGCAAAATTCAAAAAAATGGAAGTTCAATTACATAACCAAATAGCTTAGTGTGTTCAAGTCTAAAAGAAGTATAAATGTGACAACAGAGGGATTAATCATTCAGTAAATATCTTTGGCTGCAACCTATTAATCACAGAGCATGATTACAGCCGTTGTGTTGTGACATCACCTATCCCAAGTTTCTATAGCACTCAGCACTAAAGTAGATAAATGATTCTCAAGCAACTTAGATCATCAAGGGTGAAGTGCCTAGTGGGCCCCCCTAATCCTTCTGTATTTCTCCCAAGGACTGCACCTCTGTGGTAGGGTCATGTTATCTATATTACTTCTCTAATCTGGCCTTTTACACAAATCAGGCTATTAACTTTCATCCATGAATTCCTACACGGAGCCCAGAAACATGCGTTTGAACTGAAGCATGTCTTTGAGACAGGCATACAGTCTTTATGCTAGATGTTCTTTTACATAGTCAGGAATAGAGCCCCCTATAAAAAAACTGTAGGGAACATGCATCCCTAGGGGAGCTGTTCAGAAGTTGCAGAATTCCCCCACCCCACAAAAATTCTCCAGATCTGGAAAGCTCCCATGCACTTGTGGCCAGCAACCCCACCCAGAATCCCTACAGCCCATGCCCAGCCCTGACGCAACATCCTTTGCAGGTCTTCTAAGGGTAACTACGCGCTTTGGTTTTCACACTATTTCCTCCCTCAGACAGACACAAGGCTTTTTAAAGTATCTTTATCATCAATGAGCCAGAACCAGGAGAAGCACTCCCCCTTTATTGCTTTAGATAGAAATTGAGATAGCGATATAAGAAAGTGATCATGCTACTTTGAGAGGAAAGCACTAGTGACATGCAAATAAGGTTTTCAAGTCCTAAATGAAAGCTATGATCCGCCTGCAATGTGCACTAGATAACAAAACAATCCTTCTGCATTCCGTGTAGAGAAGCTTCCTAATGTTAAAATCACACTGGCAGGCTATTGATGCCAGTAGGCCAAAAGTATAAAGCCACATGACAAACAAGCGTTTATATTTGGTTGGTTGGATGTTTAAGTCATCAAACAAACACAGGGTATTTAAAACTATTAGAGAAACAGACAGATCTTTATTTCTTTAATAATATGAGATATTTTATATCCCTACATACTCAGCCTAACGTAGCAGGCTTTGGGA